ACCACCAACACCCGCACAGCAGCTGAATCCGGCTCAACGGGAAGTCCATAGAAGCGCAAACTTCACCGCCAGCTTCTACTCCAACTCCGACGCGTATCGACGCTCACCCGGACACCGCGCCTCCGAAGACATCTGGCACGCACGCATGGGACACCCAAGCAACACTGTGTTAAACAACACAATAAGAGCAGGAGTCCTTGACAAGGACTCGTTACTACTACTCGACGGCAGAGAACTTCAACGGGCACGAGGAACATGTCTTACCTGCCCCGAAGCCGACTTACCACATCGGCCGTTCACTCCTCATCACAACCCGAGCACACCCGCGTACGCACCACTCGAAAAGGTGTATAGCGACATCCTGTACAATCGGGAACCAGGACAAGTAATATACAACTACACAATCACCTTCATCGACGCCGCCACCCGTTACGTCTGGCATCTAAACCTACCCAGCCGCGACATGGTCCTCGAAGCATTCGCTGCTTGGCTACCAGTAGCAGAAAGAGAGTCGGGCATAAAGCTGAAAATCTTCCAGTCTGACGGAGGAGGAGAATACACCTCTCAGCGATTCAAGCAGTACCTGGCGGAAAGGGGAATCAAGCAGCTCCTCTCTCTTCCCTACGCCCATCAGCAGCAAGGTGTAGCAGAAAGAATGAACATGACTCTGCAGAACAGCATGCGCAAATTGTTGCGTGGCATGCAGCTACCCAACCACCAGTGGCCTGACGCGATGGACCACGCTGTCATGCTGCACAACTTGCTCTCATCTTCATCACTACCGAACAACGCATCACCGCATCTGCTGTGGACAGGAAAACAGGGCAGCACAAAAATGTTACGAGTGTTCGGATGCATGGTACAGTACCGACCCCCAGCAGCACGAGCGGGCCGATTTTCACAACGCGCACAGTGGGGACTACACCTCGGCATCGAAAAGAACTACAACGCGTGGAAAATCTTTGACGTCCACTCCAAGGAAACAGTAGCAGCACGCGACGTCATTTTCTACGAACGACTCACGCTCCAGACATACCTTGCCAACCTGCAAGAGGACCAAGATCCCACAGGTGGTTTTCGTGGTGACCGAGCCTTCGCCTCGGCAGCAGACGAAGCTGACTGGGACGAGCAGAATGTGGCCAACGCATCAGAAGAAGCTGGACCCCTTCCGTTCTGCTCCGTCGACGTCCCCATGGACGAAGATAACCCTCGCGAAAGTGTCAACGCCGAAACCTTCTACTACTTCGCCGACAACGGTTACGTAACACCTGCGACAGTCAACACCAACGAAGCAGAACGAGTAGGACCGGATTTCATACCTAATCCAGAAGCGGGAGATGAAGCAGCTTATCCCGAGGATGCAACTCTTCCCCGCTACTCACAGACTGGACTGCAGATTCTCGGACTCGTCACCGCAGTCCACGGCAACACTCTTCCTAAGGAGCCTGCGACGGTTCAGCAGGCTCTGGGGGGGGAACACAGGGAAAAATGGCGTGAAGCCATGGACAGAGAGTTAAAGGCGCTGGAGGAACGGAACACCTGGAAAGTTGTCCCCATCAGCGTGGCAAGGAACAAGACCATTCTCACCAGGAAATGGGTCTTCCGCGTTAAAACAAAAGCAGACGGCACAATTGAGAAGTTCAAAGCACGCTGGGTTGTGCGTGGATTCGATCAGGAGCACGGACGGGACTTCACCGAGACATTCGCCCCGGTTAACCGACATACCTCACTTCGAATCCTCCTCGCGATCGCCGCCATGAAGAAAAGGAAGCTACGGCAAATCGATGTCGCCAACGCGTTCCTCTACGCACCTGTCGACGTGGAAATCTTCGTCGAGCTCCCACACGGTACCAACGGGGAACCTAACCAAGTCTGTCAACTGCTGAAATCACTTTACGGGATCAAGCAAGCTCCGCGGCTATGGCAACAGTACCTACACGCTCGCCTCATTCGCATCGGATTCCGCCAACTACCTCACGACCAAGGAATGTACCGACTCACTAAAGACACCGACTACATTCTGCTGATCGTCTACGTAGACGACCTACTCTACATCGGCTCCACTGACGAAATCACCACCTGGTTCGAAGGGGAGCTACAGAGGGACCTCACACTCACGGTCTCCTCTACCGTCACACAGTACCTCGGCTTGAACATTCGGGAAGAAGAAGGCGCGATCTACCTCAACGCCGCTAAGTACGCCGACACCATCCCCAAACGCTTCGCGCTCACACCTACCACCATCTCTACGCCCTACCGCTACGCGACAGGAAACCACAAGGAAAGCTACTCAAATCCGCCGGGATACGCGACTACCAGAGAAAGCTAGGATGCCTTCTCTTCGCAGCTGTCACCTGCCGCCCCGACCTCTCATACTCCGCAAGCCAGCTCGCCACCTACCTCAAGAAGCCTGAAGCAGAACACCTGGCGGAGCTCGACCGCGCTCTCCACTACTTCGTCAGTACCTCAACGATCGGCCTAACTTACTACAAGAACACAACTACACCGACTAAATTAATCGGCTACGTCGACGCTGATCACGCTGGCGACTCCGACAACAGGCGCTCCCGCACCGGCTACATCTACCGCCTCGAACCTATCGGACCGATCTCCTGGCAATCGAGCAAGCATGAATTAATTGCTCTCTCGTCAGCTGAAGCAGAATATATTGCACTCTGCTCAGCCACCAAGGAAGGACTCTATCTTCGCGAGCTGCTGGAAGAAGCGAAGTTAGCCGAGTTACCCAACTTCACTCTGTTCTGCGACAACCAATCTGCAATTCGCATCGCCAACAAAAATGGATTCGCGAACAGAACGAAGCATATCGCTCTGCGATATTTCTTCGTGAAAGACGAGATTGAGAAGGGGAGACTTGAACTATCCTGCTGTCCCACGTCCGAGATGGCAGCTGACTACTTGACCAAGAAGCTCGGAAAACAGAAGTTCGAGTACTGCATGCTGCTGACTGGACAAAGCCACGTCACCAGCAGCGACACTCCAGAAGCGAAGGGGAGTGTTGGGAACAAACAATCTTAAGCGCCTCTGTCGTGTCGAAACACCAAGGCACAAGCGAAGCAGAGCATATCGAGGCACCAGCGAGTCAACCCTCGGAGGTTGAAGTAACCGCTGGAGGTTACGCGAAAGTCAAAGGTCAGCGACATTTGACTTGACAAATGCAGCGTGACAGCAAGGACACACAACTGACTCGACATTGAGCAGTTGCCCGAGTCGCACTGTATCGAACCGCAACAGTAAAACAGTTTAATTATATCTCTTCGTATTCTTTGTACTCTTATATAAACCTTTGTACTTGCTTGTTTTAATCAACTTACTTTGCCCTCACATACCAGCGCAAGGTGGTTCAAGGACTTCATTTAAACGCTTCCGCTACTACATCACTCTACCCAGAGTTTAACCCTACCAAAGATCCTAAAGGGCACTCAGCCCAACAGTATCGGGGTCTACCCTGAAACCGAAAACTCCTTGTTTTGGCGCGCCGTCACCGTGCACCGTGCACCAAGGGGATTTCTGGTGGAACATGCTCTGACTGGGCGAATCTCTTGTGTGAGGGGCGAATCTCTTGTGTGAGGGGCGAATCTGCTGCTGTGTCAGGGCAAATCTGCTGTGATTGGGCGAATTTGCTGTGCTGCGACAGCGCGAAACCACTGTGCGAGGGCGAATTTGCCGTCAGGGCGAATCTGCTGTGACGAACCGAGTCCGAATCATCAGTCAAGTACACAACCAGAGATCAGAAACAATCGTTAACAATTGTCCTACTCGATTGGTCAGACAATATTTATGACCAATCAGATACAGAAATAGCAAAATTCTGGCCGAATTAGGGAATTGTAAAGGGCAATCTCATTCGCTGTGTTATGACAGCATACCGGTATAAGCAACTATGCTGATCAGTGTTGAAGTTTTAGAAACCCTGATTCATCAGCGTTTTATTTCTAACCCTGTAAAATCAGTGTTTCACATCAGACGACACTGAAAATCAGTGTTAGGGTACATTCCGCTGTGGACACATGTCCCAATCGACGTGTCCCAATCGAGTGTACCGCTCCGAACCGAACTAAACCAGAGACGCGAAAAATTCGAAACTAGGGTGCAATTTGGTGTAATACGATGCGGTGCGGTAGAAACGATTGGGACACATCGATTGGGACATGTGTCCACAGCGGAATGTACCCTTACCCTCCTAGGGACACTGAGTGCTCAGGGTACCCAAAAACCAATCTAAGGCCCTGACCGCATCGACTCGGGACGAAACGGGGCTTTCGGAAAGCTCCAGTAACAAATTTTGTAGGTAGGTTGATGCCTTAGGATATGCCATGCCATCGGAATGTGTTTTTGTTTTTATTGTCACGTGCATGTACGGAAATCATCAAAATGTGATGTTGTGACTAATTGCACCAAAATTGCTGAGGCCTTAAACTGCATGCACACGCGGTTTCCATGACTTTATAGATCTAAAAAATCTTCCAATAATGAAAGCTATACGGTAAAGAAGAAAGCCAAACCATAGGCCTACCTAGGCAACAATTCCGTCGAAATGCTGTGATGTGACACAGCTGTGAAGAATCAGGCGCGTTGAACCAATGCATTCACACGCGCAATCTCCGCATCAAAATCCCAAGCTGGCTGTCCCTCAGACTCCACCTGCTGGTCCACCTGCCCGGCGGCGACATTGCCACGATCAGCACCCAGCGCCACGAGCACGGCCTCCAGCTCGGCTGCAATCACCCCCATGGCCGGCCGCGTGGCGCTCTGCTCCTCGGTGCATCGCAGTGCCAGCTGCACCACCGTCAACACCAACTCGTCCCGCGCCTCCATGCGCGCGTCCCTCAGACTCGCCACTGCCTCGCTGCCACCAAATTGAAGATTCTGCTTGACCTGGTGGGGAACAAGCGGGTCTCAATATGATATAATGAAGGCATGTGCATGTGTGAGAAAGAAGAGCAGAAGTGCGGCTACGGTGGCACTCTCTAGCGACATACCCAGGGAAGGATGTGCAGTTGCTGACGCGCCTCTTTATTGGAGCGAACGAGGAAAGAATCGGTCTCGACGGGGCGGCTTGCCATCACCTCGAGCATCACAATGCCAAAGCTGCACACCAAGACACCCCGTGGACGAGTGAGGAGAGGAGAGGAGAGGAGAGGAGAGGAACGTACGGGACACGTCCAGTGGTAAAATGCTGGAGCAATCAGGGGGTTATTGCTGGTTACCTGTAGACATCAGTGGCGGTGGTGACCTTATTGGTTTCAATATAGGAGGGATCCATATAGCCCGGTGTTCCCCCCAATCGCGTACTCTTCGCGGTGGTGGCCTCGCCCCTCCTCACAAGCCCAAAGTCTGCAATCTTGGCCTGCACTCATGCATAGAAGGCGGCGTATCTTAGCATGCACTCGCACACTAAGGACACAGGCCAATGCATGGGGAGCTGTGGTAGCGATGCAACGTGGCTTGCCTGCATGCTGCCGTCGAGCAGGATGTTGGCGGGTTTGATGTCGCGGTGAACGATGGGAAAGCTGTGGAGATACTCAAAGCCGCGTGCCGCCCCCACCAGCACGCCCACCCGCTGCTCAAAGCTCAGCGGGGAGACTGCATCTGCAGGGGAGAGGGGATGGGAAAAGAGGGGCGGAGAGGGGAGACCAAGAGACGTAGGCAAGGAGGCCGGTATGAAGAGGAACATCTGCACGGCCAGGTGAACGATGACCCCTGAACTTGAACAGGGTCTGAACACGGCTCTTGATACTAAAGCGCCAACAATGGCAGAGTACCACCTCCCCATGTGCACAGCCATAATGCACACCACCTTTTCCGATCCAGCGCATGCAGAAAAACTAGTAGCAGCTCACTATTCCAGAATCATACTTTCTCCAATCCAGCGCGAGAGGTCCTTGTTGGGCATGAGCTAGTAGATGAGGATTTGCTCGACCCTTATCTTGCCGGTGATCCCAATGGAGAAGCCAAGTAGTCGCACGACGTTGGGGTGGTCTTTGGCGGCCATCACACACACCTGCCAGTCAGGGACAAAGGCAGAGCAAGTATTGCATATATGTCACGTTACACATGGTTCAAGGCAGTCACTGTGTCATAAAATGACATGCGACATGCCATGCAACGAAACATTCGTGTAATCTCATGCCATGCCACGATGCCATGAGCTGGCCACTCTGAATAGAGAACTAACCCTGCATGAGGCAGCATATCAGCACCACAATACACATATGCACGCGTGCGAGCGCTTGCGTGCTCGCACATTCACGCTCACACACACACACACACACAGACACACACACACACACACACACAAACACACATACACACACTCACACACGCACGCACACACATCACACTCACACACACACACACACACACACACACACACACACACACACACACACACACACACACACACACACACACACACACCTCGTTGTCAAAGTGATTAGTGATGACCTTGGCTCGCTTTACAGCCCACGGCGTGGCCCCATCGGTGGGAGAGACGGCACCGTACACATCACCATAGGCCCCCGCGCCCAGCAGGTTGGCCTCGGACCATCCGTTGGTTGCTCTCGCCACCGCCCGCAGCGGATACCGCTGACACACATGCGGTGGCACCTTGCTTCTAAGATGCCCTATAAGGAGGAGGATATTTTGGAGAACCGGGGAGGCATGGAGGAAAAGTGAAAGCGAAGTATGTAGTAGTAGGTGAGTTCAGAGCCGACTCAAAAGACACCTTGTGATAGGTTAGCGTCTCTCCTTGCCATCTCGCGGGTACAATCCCACATGAGCGCACAAGCGTGAGGAGCAGAGCAGCACGGAATAGCCGAGAAACAAACCCCGAGGCTACTCACTGTAAAAGAAGTGGTAGTAGAGAATGACAGCGAGGGCCACAGCAGCAGCAACTCCAGCAATGACGATCACAATGACGGCCGAAATGGGGAATCCTGACTTGGAGGTTTCTGTACTTGGCGCTGCAGGCTTGGGTTTGTCACCTGCACACAGATAGAGGTTACCGGGTAGCCTGGTGTATTGTTGATGCAATGATTCAAATCCCTTAGGCCTTTTTTTTTGTGGTGCGTCGCAGAAACCTCGAAAGAGAGTGACTCGGAACAACAAAGGCACCGAAATCAGCAGCATACAGGCAAACATGTTCCCCAGGGGACGTGCTAGGGCTCACATGTGGCACAGAAGTCAGGGCAGGCGCCGCAGAAGGCAGAGGACGCATTCTGAGGCACACCGCAGCTGCTGTAGCTGTCAGGGCACGTGAGTCCGCTGGAGTTGGTGTCTCTGAGAATGCCAAGCCATGGAGAGGGGGGGGGGGTGGGGAAACCGAAAAGGGGAATTTTCATTGAATGCCTCAAGTGCTGAGCCTCGCTCCGCTGCTCTGTTGCAATCCTCTGCACCGCTATTCCTCCATCGCAAGGACTTGAACCTAGAGGATGGAGTGGGTACAGGCTCTTTTCCTTCCACCTGCTTCCCATAAAGTCA